ATACATACATACATACATACATACATACATACATACATACATACATACATACATACATACATACATACATACATACATACATACATACATACATACATACATACATACATACATACATACATACATACATACATACATACATACATACATACATACATACATACATACATACATACATACATACATACATACATACATACATACATACATACATACATACATACATACATACATACATACATACATACATACATACATACATACATACATACAGACATACATACATACATACATACATACATACATACATACATACATACATACATACATACATACATACATACATACATACATACATACATACATACATACATACACACACGCACACGCACGCACGCACGCACGCACGCACGCACGCACGCACGCACGCACGCACATACACACATACACACATAGACAGACAGACAGACAGACATACGGCTCGCTGGATGGATGGATGAATAGATAGACAGATAGATATATAGCAAGAGAGAGAGAGAGAGAGAGAGAGAGAGAGAGAGAGAGAGAGAGAGAGAGAGAGAGAGAGAGGGGGGGGGGTAGACAGAGACAAAGGCAGATAGAATACTCACCCCGCTTGGACTGTGGGTGAGTGTGTAATTTTCAGCTGCCCCAGAATAATAACGGGATTAGCCGGCTGAGCGGATTTTTGGGGGATTTGTTTTCCCTGGACTCTCTTCCTTGAGGTGTTGATCCCACGGACACCGTTCTGGAAGGAAACCATTTTTACCGTCCACCACTTCGTCATTGTATCCCTCTAATTAAATTAAATGGGAACTTTTGCGTCTTGCCAGGCGAGAGTGTTATACTGTGCTATGAGGAGGTATGGGATTCGCAGCCCATGGCGAGGGCGAGACCAGTAAGGACGGAAGAAGTCGCCACTGTCCCCTCTCCATAGCACAACGGATAGGCAGTGTTGTAAAGACTCTTGTGTTGCCCATGCATCATGATCTCTCAGTTGGCCTGTCTTGTTTACCTCAGAGGAAAGGTAACACCAGTACACTTGGAACAAAGCACGCTGCAGAAGCTACAGGATCAGAAGAGCAGTTCCCTGTCTATCCGCCTGGTCCCTAACATTAACTGCGCTATACCGTTGAACAGGGTTTCAGTGATTTAGCTGCTTTGGATTATCATCCGAATAGTGTCTCTTCGAGTCCTTTTTTTCATTTTTCAGAATACAATATTGGAATACGGGGTAACAAAAAAAATGGGGGTGGGGGGGGGGTGTATACAAGTTTCAGCTAGTAGCACACACGGCCCGGCTTGTACACGGTTGAGAAATCACCACTGATTGGAGCGGCCACAGAATCCACATTTGCAGGTACTGGCATCCGCTCCCTGGCGTCGCCCAGCTTTCCGTGTTACACTTTTATCGTGGCTCTAATTTTAGACTCGCGGTGTTGATGAATCCACAGACCAAGCTTGTTTTTTTTTTTTTCTCGTTATCTTGCTTAAAAGTCCACGTCTGGGAGGAGGAGTGGTCCCCCCACGGCATCCCCTGAGGTCATTGACAGACTTGTTACTTGTTATAATCACGCGCATTCGCCCGCGCGCGCACATATACACTGTCTTGATGAAGCCAGAAAGGACTTGTTGCTTCCATTTTTGGATGTCTTTCTTCCTCTTCACTAGGTCCCCTGACTGAGCATGTCCCTCAGCTAACTTCCACCTAGCCGTCCTCTTTTGTGCTTTTGCATGCAGCGTACATCATTTCCTCCTCATCATTTTAATGTTACTCTCTAACTCCATTCTCCAAGTGTTCATTGGTCAGCCTTGACTTCTCTGCCTCTGTGAGTTCCAGTGTGTAGAGACATTCTAGTTATATCGTTATCATGTTTTCTCAACGTGTATTCTATCCAGCACCAGCGTCTTTGTTCACCTCTTGATTCGCTGCACCTTGTTTAGTTCTCTCCAAAAGATCCACGTTAGTGATTCTATCATACCATTTAATTCCCTCTCTAACCGGCAGGCATCAGTTGATGAATGAATGCAGTTTATCAGTCATTCTCTCCTCCACCACCACCTTCCACAACAGTTGGTTTCCATGTTTAAGTTGATCAAAGATAGTGGCAAAAATCTATCAGAAGTGGGTTTGGCACACACACACAAAAAAAACCTCCTTAATAAGAACTCTCTTACTAAGACGAACACTTAGTTAACATGAACAGCAGAGATGTAGTGTTCATTATAAATGTTTTAGCCCGCGATTAGCACGATTTTCGTTAAACACGAACTCATTATTTTTCGATCCGTTGCAGTCCTAGTTACTGTTTTTGTAACAACACGAGAAAGTGACGTTCAGAGAGGTCAACTATGTTTACTGCCTGCATGTAACACTTGTGTAGTGCGGTGTAGAACAGGAAATGCTGATTTGGGGTAGGAGGAGCCTGGGGCTGAATGGCTACAGCAGTCGCCACGACCTGTGCAGATTTAGGACTTCAGATTTTGCCTTCGACAAACAATTGCCCATCTGCTTACCGAGGATTCGAACCCGGGTCTCCTAGAGAGAAGTAATTAGCATAAGAAAAGAAACAGAATTGTCAATGGTATATGTAATATATAGTGCGGAAACATGGTCAATGGAAGGAATTAAATAGTCGGATTGAGTCTGCAAAGATCTGATTACAGTGTCTTCTCGACTTACAACAAAGTTCCGTTCCGACTAAAAAGTCGTAAGTCGAATTGTTATTAGTGGATTTGATATTTTCAACACTTGTTTCATTCAAACGGGTTATACAATGTTCACTTAAAACACAAAAATGCAATCGTTGTATGTATAATTAGACCCTGCTGCCGTCTAGTCATCAGTTCCAGTAACTTTTTGACCCTCTCTCTATAGTTAGTTATATTTCTTTCTTTACTGTATTTATTTACGTTTTTTTTTAGTTCTAAGGGCAGATCACCTAATTCATGGCTTTTCAACTAGCGGCCTGCAGGCCAGAACTGGCCCGCGGAGACCTAGCAAGCGGGCCACGGAGCATTACCAGTTGTGTTGTAATAATGATCTTTGATGGAGCTCAAGCCTCTGTGGCTCGTGACGAACGAGCCACACGTTCCTAGTGTAGGTTGCTGAGTCAACCTAGTTGAATAACAGTGGTCTCAGTCTAGGAGAAGTTTATGCCGTAGTAGTATCCGTATGACATTACTATACAGGCTATGTCCTATGCAGATGAGTAATGTCACTCCCAGCCTCAATTTGCTTCAATGATCTTGCCTGTCTGTAAAACAGTATAACGATATCGTCTGGATAAACAAAAATGTGCCAGTATCAACAACAGATTATTTCCAAAAAGCCCTGGTGGATCCCTCTAAAACTCTTCTGTGTGTGCAGTTACCTTCATATTTGTCCAGTGGGCATGCAGGTGTTGTTGGTAATAAAAGAGCTTATAGACTGGCAGTTGCCGCTATAATTGAAGATGGCCGGCCTATGGATCACGCAGACATTGTCAGTGTCCTTAGAAAGATATAGGACGTTAAGAGGTTTTGGAAGCAACCTGTCCCCATCGCTGCTAAGAATACGAGAATCGGGAGTAAAGATTGGCCCAGCCAAGCATGAGAAGCACACCGGACTCACACGATGTCTCGTCACCCAGCATATGACTGGCAGAATTAACCTCGCGACGCTGATGAATATGTTGAGAGAGGAATCTAAGCACCTATGGATGTGTCCGGAGGGCTGTAAAGATAATCCAACTCACAACCGCAACCAACCTCCTTTGTGGATACGGCAAATTGAGTAAAATGAAGGTAACAGACAGGATATGGATATCAGTGACATGAATGCGGGTGTGTGTTTGAATCAGCAGGGAAGCATACATACCGTGTTTAAATGCAGCCAATAAATGCTCCCCAGAATGTCTAGTGCTGCCTGTTTTACAACACACGCCTTGCCAACTTGGAACCAGATCGCGGCAAGCTTGTCTGGGTTTGAGTTCAACTGTTGATACTTGGCCGCTGTTTTGTATCTGCTCAGTTAACTCGTCCACATTTGACTACAGGCTACTTCATTATTCCTCGGGCGCCATAATTTAATTTGTTGGTATTTTGTTTTTAATTCATCCCTAACAAATGAAATACCGCATTCCCCGGGAAACTCCAGTATTGTATGGACGTCAGGGTAAGGATGTTTGTCAGCCTCGACAGCCTCAGAGACACCGGCTAACCCTAATCCCAACCCATGACACCCCTAGAATTTACTTTGTTTGGGGTGATTTAAAAGTTCCCATGGGGGGGGGGGGGGGGGTCACTGCTATTCAGTACCCGTCGTGTTTTAATACTTTTCAGATTTTCAGTACTTGTTTTAATATTTGTCGATTTTTTTGTATCTGCCATGATTAATCAGCTAGTCACTTGCATCTGTCTTGTCGTTTGTCTCTTCTTGTGTGTCTTACTGTGTGTGTATCTGCCTTGTCGTTTGTCTCTTCTTGTGTGTCTTACTCTGTTTGTATCTGCCTTGTCGCTTGTCTCTTCTTGTGTGCCTTACTGTGTTTGTATCTGCCTTGTCGCTTGTCTCTTCTTGTGTGTCTTACTGTGTTTGTATCTGCCTTGTCGCTTGTGTCTTCTTGTGTGTCTTACTATGTGTGTATCTGCCTTGTAGCTTGTCACTTCTTGTGTGTCTTACTATGTTTGTATCTACATTGTCGCTTGTGTCTTCTTGTGTGTCTTACTATGTGTGTATCTGCCTTGTAGCTTGTCACTTCTTGTCTTTCTTACTGTGTTTGTATCTGCTATGTCGCTTGTCTCTTCGTGTGTGTTTTACTGTGTTTGTATCTACCATGTCGCGTGTCTCTTCTGGTGTGTCTTACTGTGTTTGTATCTGCCTTGTCGCTTGTATCTTCTTGTGTGTTTTACTGTGTTTGTATCTGCCTTGTCGCTTGTCTCTTCTTATGTGTTTTACTGTGTTTGAATCTACCTTGTCGCTTGTCTCTTCTTGTGTGTCTTACTGTGTGTGTATCTGCCTTGTCGTTTGTCTTTTCTTGTGTGTCTTACTGTGTTTGTATCTGCGTATTTGTCTGCTGATGGCAGTCTGTTACTGCCCCCCCTCCCCTCCCCCACTATCTCCCAGCCTGCTCCTGTCCTCTTGCACAGTCTGTGTGTTTGCTTTTTGTATAAGTCTGTCTGTCTGTCTGCATCTGTTTCTGTGTCTTAGACACCTACCTGCTATCGTGTAAAAAAAAAAAAAAAGAAGTTAGTTGTGTATTCTTTACAGGAGTTTGCAGAACCAACCCCAGCATTATTTTGGCTGTTGTTGTTTTTCTAGTCAAAGTTTACATTCAGTACTTCGACATTGCCCACTTAACGGCCAGCCCTCGGTACCACTTTCGAAATCAACGCAAGACAAATCGTCCGCAGCAGGGATCGAACTCAGCACCCGGGCATCACGAAGCGCGCCCGCAACGCCTAAACCACAGACGCTACCGTGTGCATACTATTGAAGTACATTTCCTAGCTGTGTGTGTCTTACTTCTATAAGTAAAGTGCAACCACGGGCTGTGAAGGTTAAACAGTTTCACGATGTGATTGATGTGTGTCTGAGGTGCTCACACACATCCACACAAACGCACACACACACACACACACACACACACACACACGCACGCGCACACACAATTATGACACTAAATTGGTTTCAACCTAATATTATTTCAGTACATTGTGTTATCATCCTCACAGAGTGTGTTGGCGAAACGTGAGCTTGATGTCTTGTTAGGGAATCGCTTAAAATTGAAGGCACCGTTTTGACGCGACAAAGTGAGTGACCTTAAAAACAAAAGCTTATAGAAATAATAATAATTTTGTGAGAATGGGCTTGAGTTTGTTCAAGTAGATTAAAATGAAATAAGTACCATATGAGTCGTTAGAAAACATAGACATCAAAGCTCACATACAAGGGGGTCATCTTTGTGTCAGCACTGGAACTGATGTAGTTCGTTTTACCTCTTTCATCGTACCACCTCACCCATACAGATGGCAATACCGCGACGTCGTCGCCAGTCCAGTCGTGAGTTCCTTGATCAAAACGCCTTTATTGTGTGCCAATGTCAGATCCGATCTTGTGTGCTCTGTATGCTAGGCTGGTGTGCTATTCATAAGGTTGGATATCTATAAATTCGGATAGCGGTGGGGAAATGGCGTTTCATAACTTTGGAATAATGATGGTCAAGCTAGTGCAGTGGAAATCCAGGAACAAGAAACTGCGGTCTTCCATAACAGAGGTGAGTAATTTAACCATCATTATCTTGTGCCGTTACAACATCACATAAGGCTGGCAGTTATTCTTCCTTCCGTTGTATCATATGCAATTCATTGGATGCTAGTTTCTGTAGATTTTTCACTGGTTGGTAGGACCTTTTCGACTTTCTGCACGACATTTTGTTATTTATGCACCTAGAAAGTACACCCCAAGGCGATACCAATTGAGACCAGGGATAAAGTTCTTCCTCTCCGTAGCACAGAGCCTGTGCAGTATTGTAGAAATAATGTGTTGTCCGTGTAACATGATCCCTCTCTCGACCAACTGTGTTAACTTTGAATAAAATATAACGCCAGTACGTTTAGAACAAAGCATTCTGCAGATTTTGCCGGATCAGAATTGCAGTGCTCTGTCTGTCCCATTGATGGAACCTCTCTCCTACGCCAGCTGCCAACTATGGTAAAGGGATTAGAATGACTTGCCATAACAGTAACTTATTAGGTTGCATTTCCTCGTTATGTGGTAAGGCTAGTATTCTCCTCAGTTGGCTCCTCCATGCCAATTTTTGTTGCTAGATTTTAGTTTTACAGAGTAGGATGACAAACAACATGTCCACCCCTACTGCTTTCTTATCCAGGCTTGGGAGCGGCAGTAGCAAAGATTCCAGTAGTTGTTGTTTATTGGCCAGCTGGTTTCTGCCGTGAGCTGCAGACATCTCATCGTCGGTCTGTCTGCCTGTCTGTATGTCTGTCTGTCTACTTTTCTGACCTCGCCGCTCCGTGATAACGTGTTCCCACCTGCGACTTAAAGAATGGCATCTATAGTGTCAAGCCAGCCAGGCTAATTTTCAGATACCCTGTTCAGCCCCTAAAGTTCTTATTTTGGAGCTCGATATCGTCTCTGTGGTTCTTTATATACAACACACACACACATACACAGACAGACACACACTCATTCACTTCTAAGAAACTCACCATCCGTTAATTAGGGCTCCTCTTGTGCCATGTCCGCCTCCTTCTCTGCCGTCGCCTCCTCCTCCTTCTTTATCTTCTTCTTCTTTCTTTCTTTCTTCTTCTTCTTCTTCTTCTTCTTCTTCTTCTTCTTCTTCTTCTTCTTCTTCTTCTTCTTCTTCTTCTTCTTCTTCTTCTTCTTCTTCTTCTTCTCTTTCCCCTCCTTTCATCTCTCGCTTCGAACTTCCTTACAGTTATAGATTCCAAGTGTTTGTAGGTCTACTTTAATATTATCTCTGCACCGCCTTCTTGGTCTGCCTCGTGTTCTACTCGCGTGCAGCTCTTTTATGTGCTCAGTTATTCTCTCTCTCTCTCTCTCTCTCTCTCTCTCTCTCTCTCTCTCTCTCTCTCTCTCTCTCTCTCTCTCTCTCTGTTAACTGCTGTTCTCTTTTTGGTCCCCACCCAGTGTAGTCTTGTAACATCCATGTCATCACTAATTAGTGGTATTTACCCATTGTGAGTTTCGTTGCTGCTTCTCTCTGTTCTTGTCTCCTTAATCCTCAACGATTCCTTTTTATCTGTAAAATTATTTCATTGTCGTTGTCGGCACATTTCTATGGCTTCAGATGATAATGTCATATTGTGCTTCAGGACGACATTGCAATCACAGCCCATGATGATGGGGAGTTTAACGTAGCCAGACCCGCTGGCGTTAGGAAATCTTCCACAACTACTGCAGGAGATTTCAGGAACTCATGTTGCCATCGTATGCAAAATGCGCCTACAATTTTTGGGGGTTTAAAACGCAAAAAAAAAAAAAAAAAAACTGACGACTCCCCTTCTCTCGCCCCTTTCTTCTGCTTGAGACACGGTCCATGACATTCCCCCCCCCCCCCCCCCCCCCACACACACCTACCTCCACGAATCTATCTCAGTACATGTATGATTCATGCCGTGCTTGCGTGTAATAAGTCATCATACCCCAGCTGTTACTGCAATTTATTTTGTGCCATAATATAATTTAATCAGTTTTAGACAGTCATTTAATATTTCAAGTAATAAATTCTCAACATTGAAGAAATAATTCATTGAGATCTCTGTGTGTCGGTCGTTACCAGATACATTAATTTCCAGATAAATTAATCTCCCTGTGTGGGTTTCGGTGTCCCATTCTGGTGGGGAAAATAGATCCACTGCTCATATAAAGCATTTAGTGAAAGACGGCTAATTGAGTATGTTTTCCCTGAAGTCGGAGTGCTGCTCTCATAGAGACAAGGAATGAACACTCTCACACAAATAAGACAGATCTTTAAAGCGGGCAAAGTTAGTACCAGACAGGCAAACAAAAGCGAACATAATAAAATATAATAATAATCAGCAGCGAATTAGGAGGAAGCGAAAGAGTCACAGATGGTTTTGTTGAATTTTTGAAACCCTTCAATGAACGAATGTTTTCGTAGCGTTGGATTTCAGGCAGAAGATATATTTACACTTGTTTGCTTGTGTGCGTATGTGTATGTGTGCGTGTGTGTGCGCGCGGGCTTTGCATGTGCGTACCATTGTGTACATTTAGGTGTGTTTAGTCTTGCACGCGTGGACTTCTTTTTTGCTAGCTAGCGCACACGCACATACACGAGAGAGAGAGAGAGAGAGAGAGAGAGAGAGAGAGAGAGAGAGAGAGAGAGAGAGAGAGAGAGGGGGGGGGGGTGTGGAGGGGGGTGGGTGGGTGGGTGTAAAAGAGAAAGTGAGGAGTCGTAGGCCCAATAACCCCCCTTTTTTCCCCTGCCACCCCACCACACCCGTTTTTTTTTTTTTTAAAACACAATTTCGACGGGGGTACTTACTATCTCCTTGCCCCACCCCCCCCCCCTTTTCCGTTTTCTTTATGTTGGTATCCATGCTTCTGTTGACCCTTCAAGGCTGTAAATTTGATTATTTCCCTTTTCCCACCCATATACACACACATATACTCACACACACACACGCTTAACGGCAGAAGTGGAAATTTACTGCGATGAGGGTCTGCTGCTCTCATGCTTTGTAGGGCAGTGATGTCTTGAACCCGTGCACTTAAGAGTCTCACAGTACAGTTGTCATCAACCACGCAGTTAAAATTTTTACTGGCGAGGGAAACAAATAATGTCCAGGAGTGCTACCTGGATTTCGGACTCGGGTCTTCCAAACGACATGCCAGCATTCTTATCTTTGCCGTCAGTTGAGGGTGTCAGCGGTCGAGCGTAGTAATGACAACACGTGCTCAACACAACATAACATGCGACTAGAGATCATCTTGACCGTTAGGTTTGTAGAAGCTCCGTTGTCTTATCAGTTTTCTAGTCACAGTTTAGTACTCTGTTGATAAAGACTTTGGTTAAAATTTTCGATTGCTTTTGTGCGCTTTTTTTTTCTTCCCATTTTCTTTATGGAGTTTTCTAGTCACATTTTATGTTGTATTGAACACTTCAGGGTTCGAATGGCTGCTCTAGAGGGATATGTACATATGAGTCATCATTTTGCTGTCGTGCCGGTGTCCGTCACACAGAGCTTCTCGTGTTTGCTTCCATTCAGTTCTGTTCTGTGCAGTTGTTTGAATGTTATCGTCCAGCAATCTGGCCTGTCCCAGCACCTTTTCAGCAACGTTCGTCTTATTTCACTAGGAAAACCCTCTGGGACACTTTGGAAAGAACCCCATTATCATGTATAGGTGCTTTCGTTTACTGACATGTTACCTCCCCTTCTCTAAATCTATGTCGGGGATTTCCAGCCTTCGTTAGCATTTCTTTGTAAGTGTCACCTCCAAGGTTTTCGGGCAAGTTTCTCTTTTATTGACTTTAGGTACCCTCTTGTAACAGTTTCACAGAAAATTGTCAGTTCATTGTCTTAGTTGATTGTATTTTTTTTATTGGCAGCGCTCCCCGCGGCCATATAAGGTGTATCTTGAACGTCCTCACCTTCTCAGTCCATTTATTTCTTATTCCGTTGCCTGTTTTGTGAT